CAGAGCTCGTCGGGAGGGACGGGGATCCCGTCCGAGGGGCAGAGCTCCACGGCCAGGATGTTCTTCTGCAGGGGGAAGGTCAGCACGCCCATCCCGGGGGTCTCGATGGTGCAGGGCTCCAGGGCTGATCCGGGGAGCTTCACGGGGGGCGAGTCCACGCAGGTCTCAGGGGGGCAGAGCTCTGCTGGAGAGGCCGCAGACTGGAAGGGGAATCCCGGAATCCCGGAGTCATTAAGGCTGGAAAAGCCCTCCAAGGTCCCCGAGTCCCCCCTGTGCCCCCTCCCCACCTCGTCCCCCAGCCCAGAGCACTCAGTGCCACGGCCTTGGACACCTCCAGGGGTGGGGTGGGGAGTCCCCAACCCTCCTGGGCAGCCCCTTCCCGTGCCTGAGCACCCTTCCCAGGAGGGAATTCTTCCCCGTGTCCAGCCCCAACCTCCTCCAGGGGAGTCCCAAGGAAGGGCACCCACACCCGAACCCACACCCGAGGGCAAAGCTCTGCCCCTGGCACGGGCAGGGACCCACCTGGGAGGTGAGCTGGGGGCAGGAGGGGGTGTCCAGGGCAGGGTCCAGCTCGGGGCAGGGGCCGGGCTGGGCAGAGCAGGGGGGTGGGCAGGGCAGCTGGCACGGGGAGCTCATCCTTCCACGCCGCGGGGGAGCTGAAAGGAAAAGGGCAATCTCGTGGCTGCTCCCCCCCAAAACATCAGCCATTCAGCGAAACTCGGGGTGGTTCTGTTGTTTTCCCCTGAAAACCTTCAAAAGCAGCTTTTCCTTTCGGGGTCCGTTTGCAGCCAAAGGTTTGCAGTTTCAACGACGTTTTCTTGGGAGAGCAGCGGATTCCAGCCACATTTTCAGGCTTATAAATGTCAAGCCAATCCCTTCTCTCCTCCAGGTGGTTTCTCCTTGTCCTGGAACTCCTCCCTGGGGATCCCCAGGGGTGCAGCCATCCCTGTCCTACCCCTGCCGTGACTAAAAGCAGCAACAGGCCGGACAGGTAAGAGCAAGATGCAGTTGTGCAGGTTCCCCACGAGGCTGGACACGCTTACCTGGCACTCCAGAGATGCTGCAGCCACTTCCCTGATCCCAACAGGCAGAGCAGTTTGGGCCAGAGGGGGTTTTTATCCCTCTCGACCCGGTGCTGGGACAACAGGAGGCGTTTTGAGGAGCATCCCTGGGAACTCCAGCAGAGCCAGCAGGAAGGAAGGTCGGTGCTCCTCGAAACCCTTCTCCCCAAGGAGGTTGGGAGCCAAGAAATTCCCCTTTCCCGGGAATCTCTTTCAGTGGTGGGAAATTAAAGCCCAGCACCAGGCTGGGACCTGCAGGATCCCAGAGGAACTTACCCAGCTCAGGATCAGCGAAGGCAGGACGGGCAGACCTCGGAGCTGGGATGTGCCTGCCGTGTCCTCTGGCCCCGGGAGCTGGGGAGCCCCAGGCACCCAGACGGGTTCCCCATCCCAAATCCGGCCTCGCTCCGCCTCTGCCCCGTGATGGATTATTTGACTAATTATTTTTAATGGAAACCGCCTATTTCCGTGGCTGGAGCACGACCTGGAGGGAGCTGGGCTGGCTTGGGAATCCACGTGGCCCCTCAGAGGAATTTGGGAAATGAGTGGACTCCCGGCCCGCTCTCAGGTGGTCACGGGGCGGTTTTGGGGTCAAACATCCTCCAGCCCAACAAACACCTCATGGGGTCCATTAGAGACAGGATGGGATGTGGGATTTGGGGGATTCTTTTATTTTTAGCCACGTCTGACCTCCTTCTGTCCCTGCCCCTCTCCCCTTGGGACACGGTGCTGCTGGAAACTCTCGTGTCATCCCCTGTCTCGAGGGGTTTTGTGATTGCTCCCAAAGTTCTGAGTCAAACAACGTCTCCATTGCCTCTGTCCTCGTGCAGGTACATCACCGAGGAGCAGGTGGGTGATGGAAGGAGCGACAACCCCCTTCTCATCCCTCTGGTTCACCAAACCCAGCAGAATTCCACCAATCCCCACCCCTGTGCTCGGCAGGGAACTGTCAGTCCGGGTGCTCACAGATCCCAGGTTTCTCTCTCTCTACTTTATAACCCAAAGTGTCTGCACTGGACACACGCCCTCAGAGGAGGAAGAGCAGACATGAGGACACACCTTGGTCTCCAGGTGAAACATTCCCTCACTTCTGGGTGCCAGAAATACTGGTCTGATGTTGTGTCACCCGCTGACTTCAGGCTGCTTGGCAGCGAGCAGGGAAGGAGCTTTCAGAGCCTTTGATCCCTCCCAGGGCTCTCCACCGGTTGGCTCTTCTCTTCCCTCTGATAAAGAGGGATTTTCAGGCAGGAACAGGAGCTGTGGAAGGTAGGAAGGCCCAGGCTGTCCCAGTTCCACACCAGTCACCATCTCCCCCCGGGGACACTCACTTGGTGTCACCAGGATACTTGGTGTCACTGCTACACCCCAGAAACAGGCCCAGCAAACCACCAAAGCACTGCCAGGGCCGGGGTGGGCAGAGCCCCAAACACAGAGGGTTCATCCCCCCTCACCCCGGAGGGGCCACGGCAGGAGGAGCCCTGGAAGGAGCCAAAGGGACCCTGAAGATCCTCACAAACGTGGCCAAAATCCCCACCAGTGGTTGGATCCAAAGGAGTTGTGGGCACAGGAGCAGGGCAGGGGTTGTGTCCCTCTGTGCTGGGCACCGGGGAGGGAACATCCAGGGCTGCCCCCAGGGCCGGGCCCCTCAGGGCAGGAGGGACAGGGAGGGGCTGGAGCGGGACCAGGGAAGGGAATGGACACGGGGAAGGGGCTAGAGAACTCCTGAGGGAGCTGGGGGGGCTCAGTCTGGAGAAAAGGAGGCTCAGGGGGGACCTTCTGGCTCTGGAATTCCCTGACAGGAGGGGGGAGCCGGGTGAGGGTCAGAATCTTCTCCCAGGTGATGACACAGGACAAGAGGAAACGGCCTCAAGCTGTGCCAGGGGAGGGTCAGGTTGGCCATGAGGAGGAATTTCCTCCTGGAAAGGGTGTTCAGGCCTTGTCAGGGGCTGCCCAGGGAGGTGGGGGAGTCCCCAGCCCTGGGGGTGCCCAGGGCAGGACTGGCCGTGGCACTGAGTGCTCTGGGCTGGGGCCAAGGTGGGGATGGGGCACAGGGGGGACTGGATGTTCTTGGAGGGCTTTTCCAGCCTCAGGGATTCCGTGGATTCTGGTTGTGGTGCCACACTGCCCTTGGTGGAGGAGAAGGGATGTTCTGGAGCTGCCCAGGAAATTTGGGTGCTCCCAGGTGGCCTCTCAGTGTTCCAAAAACCCAACAGTCACGGGGGGGTGGTGAGGGGTGAGTGCTCCCCCTCATCGGGCTCCTGTGAGACCACCCTTGGCTGCCGTGCCCAGTTTGGGTCCCACAGCACCAGAGAGGTCCCAACATAATCTGGAATCTCTGGAGTGAGCCCAGGGGAGACCACCAGGGTTTTTCCAGAGACCTCGAGGAGAAGATGGGCTGGGAGAGGCTGAAGGATTTGCTCCCCCTGGGAAAGGCTTGGGGGTGATCCTTGCAGCTGCCTGACAGGTATTAGTGGGGAGGCTCTTCCCAGAAATCCCCAGGGAGGGGGGGAGAGGCACTGGCTGCAAGTTTGCAACGAGGGGAATCGTGACCAGACTTTTTAGGAACAAAACTCTCAGCTGGAGGAATCTTGTGTGTCTGGGAAGAACAAGGGAAGTCCCAGAGCAGAGGAGAACAAAATTCCAGAGTCCTGTGGGGCTGTCTCAGAAGGTGCAGAAAATGTCCCAAAACAACTTTTATCCAAGCAAAGTTTAATCCCGAGGGGGGGGGGATTGTTTCCAGGCTGGATCATCGGCTCTTTGTTTCCCTGCCCTCCGTAGGAAATGCGTGGATGGGGAATTCCAGCAGTCATAGTGTCCCACCTGGGCAGCATTAAAAATTATAATGGAGGCAAAGTAATTGAAGGACTGGAGGTGGAACAGGTCCGGATTATTAAAAAATTGGATTTCCATACCCCTGAGGTGTCTCACTTCCGGAGCCACGGACACAGAAATCCTATAAAAGGATTCTTATTGTCGAGTCCCTCAAACCTGTGGGGTTTCATTTGGGTCTTTGCTGGTGGTGAACTGGGTAAGTCTCGCTGGGTTTGCTGGGGAGTCACGGAGTGCTTGGGGTTATTTCAGTTCCAAGTGTGGCAGGAGAGACTTAAAAAGACTTTGAGGTGCTTCTGGTTGGTGAGATTTGTGTGTGGGGGGGTTATCCAGCAGCTGAGCTGGGGGTAAACATTAATTCCATCTCCCACCAGGCTTTATTTGCTGCCTGTTTTACTCTTTCTCCATCAAGATGTGTCCGAGAGTGGACCAGCCTCTCTCTCTCTCCCTCCCCGGTGACTTTGCTCTCCTGTTTTAACCAGGAAATTGTCGGGCTTGGGAGAGATCAAAAGGCAACATTAGGACTTCAAAGGGGAAAAGTGGGAGGGGAGATAAGAAGTGGAGACTTTCGGGCTGCCTGGAAGGGAGTCTGGGGGAGAAGAGCCAGGACTTGTGTGGGAGAGCTGGGAAAGCAGCTGTGCTGGGAGCTGTGGGGTCCTTTCCCTGTGGAAGTTTTCCAGGATGGGACCCCCAGTCCCTCCTCTGGCTGAGGGGCTGAGCAGGGACAGGGCGAGGTCAGAACCTGAGTCGTCTCCTTTTTGGGTGGAAACAGGGAAGCAAAGCCAAAGGTGAATCCCAAACCAAGGGGAGCCCTGGGTGGCTGGGGGTGGTTGTTGTGTCTTCAGACCTCGCAGGATAACCCGGCTGAGCCCAAGGAACTTTTCTTTCCCGCCCTGAGAAGTGGTTTGAGAGCAGCCACCAACTCGCCCAAAACGCTCTCCAGGCGAGTTCATTCCCCGCTGTGGGTTCCAGGCTGTTTTCCCAGCTCGGGGTTCCTCTGGAGAAGGGATGGTTTAGCTCTGGGTGTGAAACAGCCCCGGGAGGGCTGAATGCCTGTTTCTCACAGGATTTGTTCCTCTCCTGCTTCCAGCCTCCCCCCTCCCCTCCGAGATGCGTCGCCCCAGCGGTTGCCCCACGGCCCAGATCTGCATCCCCCCCCCCGCCGTCCTGGTGAGGAGCTGTCCCGTGAAAACCCGCCCGGATCCCCGCGGCACCGCCTGCAGCTTCCAGCAGAGCTTCTGCTTGCCTCCCCGCGGGAATCCCTGCAGGAATCCCTCCTACTGCTACACCAGAGTGCCCCAGGGCAGCACCACCTACGTGAAGCTGGGCGGGCTGGGGCTGGCACAGGCTGCGGGCTGTGGGGGGCCCTGTGGCCTCGCCATGGCCTCGGGGGTCCCTCCCTGCTGCCAGGGGGTGACCAGCTACAGCACCACCTGTAGGGATCCCTGCTGCTCCCAAGGGACCATGTGCCAGGAGTCCTGCTGCCAGGAGGTGACCAAATGCACCACGACCTGTGTGGATCCCTGCTGCAAGGAGGTGACCAAGTGTGTCACCACATGTCAGGATCCCTGTTGCAAGGAGGTCACCAAATGCACCACCACGTGCCAAGATCCATGTTGCCAGGAGGTGACCAAGTGCACCACAACCTGTGTGGATCCCTGCTGCCAAGAGGTGACCAAATGCACCACCACGTGCCAAGATCCCTGTTGTCAGGAAGTAACCAAGTGCACCACCACATGTCAGGATCCCTGTTGCAAGGAGGTGACCAAGTGTGTCACCACGTGCCAAGACCCCTGCTGTCGGGAAGT